CTTTTGTGGAGCCCAGAAATATTGTCGACTTACTTATATAAAATTTGGGGCTTCCCAGGTGGCACTAGTGGTAAAGAACCCTCCTGACAATGAGGGGACATAAGAGATGCAGGTTTGATCCCTGGGTAGGGAAGATCCCCTGGAGGAGGACAACCCATTCCAGTATTCTTGCCTGGAGAATCGCCAAGGACAGAGGAGCCTAATGGACTATAGTCCATAGGGTTGCCCAGAGTCAGACAGGACTGAAGCAACTTAGCATGCAGCATGCTTCATATGGACATATTGTAATCTATCTAATTAACTCTTCTTGTTGGACTTATAGGTTGTTCCTGGCTTTTCCTAGGTAAACTTTTCTAGGTGAGAAGATCTTAGCCTCAACTTTACTTACTAGCATTGTAGAAGTATCATTATCCCACATTCTAGATAAAGTAGCTGAGGCTCCAAGAGCTTCAGCAAGCTCCTCAGGACATTCCTAGTAAGTGGTGGAGCCCAGATGCAAACCACACCTCTTTCATTCCCAAATTTGTACTCTCAATCATTAGACTGGACTCCTAAAAATGTTTTAGAATGGCTCACCACATGAATGAATGAATGAGTGAGTGACCCTATGTAACAGACTACCTTGATATCATTATGTACTTTTCATGAGGAGGATGGAGGCTTGGGGAGGATTTTCTATGTAAATAAGGAAAGATGCCCCACTCTGGGCAGGTGCAGCTATGGTCCACAGCTTGTGCACAGAGGTCATATTTGGTGCACATTTGCCTTTCAGGGCACAGCCTGCAAACACTTTTTAGGCTGTAGACAGCATTTGAACTAAGGTTCTCTGACTTCGTGTTCTTCCCTGTTTCCCTAGAGAGTATGCCGTTTCTCCACCACATACTCCTCTGCTCCCAAAGAATTGGCAGCAATCAGGACTTCTAAGCAGGTGTTAAACAGGAAATGTGAATCACACCTCTGAGGCTGTGGATGTTGTGCTATGAATAATAACAGCTATGATTAATGAAAAGTGTGTCTGGCATTATGCTAAACACTTTACAAGCTTTAGTCTCATTTACTAATTAGATGGGTAAGGTTGTTCCCATTATGCAGATGATGAAGCTGAGTTCCAGAGCATTCCAGTGACTTTCCCAGGCTTATATAACCAATATTACACACCTCAGGCTCCATGTACTCTGAGTGGCCATGGAATACCATGGTTGTCAGAATTCTCCTGGTACCCTTCCATTCTTCTCTAGCCATCATCTCCTGGAAACTTTTCTCTGAACATTCTGGATCTGCCTTCTAAAAGTGTGGGGCACATGACTGACCATACTCAGGGTGTTCATTCTCAACACATAAATCCTAAGGTGTCATGGATATTTTCCCATAAGGTCCTATTGTTTCTATTTTATTAATCAATTCTTCCCTGTTCACTAAAATTGGATGCAGAATCATGGTCTTTCTCTAGCTTCTGGGAGATAAAAACTCACTAGAAAATTACAAATTCATCAGCTGAGCTTCTTCTTGCAAGCTACGTCTACCAGTTATATTCAAGGTGGTTGAAGGTACATATTTTTGCTAACACATCCTCTGAGCTGATTCTGTGACTTGTGTTAGAAAAGCATCATCCATATTTTCTTTGTGTTGTGGAGATGAGATCTGTGGTATTTTTTCCTATTTTTTGCCACTTTAGTTTTTTAATTGAAGTATAATTGCTTTACAGAATTTTGTGGTTTTCTGTCACACATCAATAAATATTTTTTTTCCCTTTATTTTTGTTAATCTTTCTCCTGATTCTTGCACAAATGCCTGTCACTTGGCTTCTTCTATCCTCAGCTCTCTGGCTTCCTAGGGTCTTCCTGACACATGTGAGACTCCCATTATGGGCCACAGGGTCATGTGCACTTTCCCAGGAAAATGTTGAGCTTTGGTGGAGATGTGGAAGGGTCTGTTCAGAGAGGCATTCCTCTGACTGCAGAATCAAGACAAGAAGATTGTAGAAGACCCTGATTAGACAGAGAAGTTGAGAACTTGGGGGAAAATGAGAATTGGGGGACAAAGATGTTGCTAGTGTCAAAAAACAAAATCTTTCTTACTTTGCAAACTTGCCATGTGCTTGTGTATTCTGTTTTTATCAGTCAGGTAACACAGAGCAGAGCTTCATAAATCAATATTTTTAATCCTATGCTTTGAAACAAGTTGGAAAAATTATATACTAACATGAAAACAACAAGGATAACAAAAAAATCTGTTTAAATTTCTACTGTATAATATGCTAATATTCTGATTTTGAAATAGTTTATTTAACACATTTTTCCTCCATTTCTTCATGTGTATAATGTGGAGAAAAAGTTCCTAATTGGGCTAAAACCAACTTTCTTAAAGAATATTTTAGAAGGGATTCCTAAATGCAGTTAATGATTGAGAGACCTCCCTCTTCAATATTAAATGGAAATTTTATTTCTAAGATCAGCTATAAATGGCTTTATGGTAAAAAACCTATCTGTTAAAAATTTGTCACTGTTATCTGTGGGCTGTGTGATACATAATTTTCATGTTTTAGCATTAGTTTTTTTCATCTTTAATATGGGGCTACCATTCACTTTCCTTATGGTGAGGTTTAAGGGAGGTCATGCATTTGAATGTTTTCAAAGAGGCAGAGGAACCAGAGATCAAAATGCCAATATCCACTGGATCATTGAAAAAGCAAGAGAGTTCCAGAAGAACATCTATTTCTGCTTTATTGACTACGCCAGGGCCTGTGACTGTGTGGATCACAATAAACTGTGGGAAATTCTGAAAGAGATGGGAATACCAGACCACCTGACCTGCCTCTTGAAAAACCTGTATGCAGGTCAGAAATCAACAGAACTGGGCATGAAATACAGACTGGTTCCAAATAGGAAAAGGAGTACGTCAAGGCTGTATATTGTCATCCTGCTTATTTAACTTATATGCATAGTACATCATGAGAAACGGTGGGCTGGAAGAAGCACAAGCTGAAATCAAGATTACTGAAAGAAATATCAATAACCTCAGATATGCAGATGACACCACCCTCATGGCAGAAAGTGAAGACGAACTAAAAAGCCTCTTGATGAAAGTGAAAGAAGGGAGTGAAAAGTTGGCTGAAAGCTTAACATTCAGAAAACTAAGATTATGACGTCTGGTCCCATCATCTCATGGGAAATAGATGGCGGGACAGTGGAAACAGTGTCAGACTTTGTTTTGGGGGGCTCCAAAATCACTGCAGACAGTGGCTGCAGTCATGAAATTAAAAGACCCTTACTCCTTGGAAGGAAAGTTATGACCAACCTGGATAGCATACAAAAAACAGAGACATTACTTTGCCAACAAAGGTCCATCTGGTCAAGGCTATGATTTTTCCAGTGGTCATGTATGGATGTGAGAGTTGGACTGTGAATAAAGCTGAGAGCCAAAAAATTGATGCTTTTGAACTGTGGTGTTGGAGAAGACTCTTGAGAGTCCCTTGGACTGCAAGGAGTTCCAATCAATTAGTCCATCTTAAAGGAGATCAGTCCTGGGTGTTCATTGGGAGGACTGATGCTGAAGCTGAAACTCCAGTACTTTGGCCACCTCATGTGAAGAGTTGATTCATTGGAAAAGACCCTGATGTTGGGAGGGATTGGGGGCAGGAGGAGAAGGGGACGACAGAGGATGAGATGGCTGGATGGCATCACCGACTCAATGGGCATGAATTTGAGTAAACTCTGGGAGTTGGTGATGGACAGGGAGGCCTGGCATGCTGCGATTCATGGGGTCACAAACAGTCGGACGTGACTGATCGACTGAACTGAACTGAACTGAATGGTGTCTTTGGGCTTCCCAAGTGGTGCTAATGGTCAAGAACATTCCTGCCATTGCTGGAGAGGTAAGAGATACAGCGTCCTGATTCCTGGTTTAGGAAGATTCCCTGGAAAAGAGCATGGCAATCCACTCCAGTATTCATGCATGGAGAGCCCCAAGGACAGAGGTGCCTGGTGGGATGCGGTCCATAGGGTCACAGAGTTGAATGTGGCTATGGGGCTCCCCTGGTGGCTCAGATGGTAAAGCGTCTGCCTGCAGTGCCAGAGACCTGGTTTCGATCCCTGGGCTGGGAAGATCCCCTGGAGAGGAAATAGCAACCCACTCCAGTACTCTTGCCTGGAAAATTCCATGGACTGAGGAGCCTGGTAGGCTACAGTCCATGGAGTCGCAAAGAGTCGGACACGACTGAGCGACTTCACAGTACAGTAAAGTGACTTAAACATACATGATGTGTGGTATTTTAGGCATCCATTGAAAGTCTACTTTTTTCAGCTATTTTGGTGGGGGAGAGTTATGAGGAAAAACAATGAAGGAAGGTGATTAAGACTGAAAAGAAAGATAAGTGTTTTGAATCTGAGATCTGCTGGCTGGGTGAACTTGGGACAGTCACTTGACCACCCTGATTCCAGTTACTTCTTCCATAAAAGTGGGTTGTATTACCTGTATCACACTGAATGAACTACACGACAATAAAGAACTCTACGAAGTCTAAAAGCCTGTGTCACTGTACGCCTTCAACATCATTCAATGTTTTGATGCTCGAGATGAATTGCTGTCTATTTCACACACTCCGGTTGTAGGAGTCTGAGATATTTCTACTTGGGTGAAGATGTTTTTTTCCAGATTTTACTCACCTATTTGTAATTGTTTTTTTATAAGACAATGTCTCCATTTCAAAACAAAACAAATAAAATCATAATGTCAAGAACAAAAACCAAAACCTGAAATACACATAGTATCTACTGTCAGAATCTGAGCCCACCCCAAACCTAGTGTAAATAATAGCTAGACCTTGAGGCTTAAATAGCTTTCAAGATTTTGCTGGATAGAAATCCTGAAAATTGTTTTGGGAGGAGATGAGTGATCATGGAGCTTGAACATGTACTTGAAATGCTTTTGGAAAGACAGCCAAGGTCCAGCCACCCATAAGCCAGAAGAGAGAGAAAGAGGGCAGACTTCGAGTTCCTTACCGTGGCGTCTTCCTCAGCGTAGTGGTTGAGGACCTCGCGCCCACCAGGATGCCTGTCCGCCCAGCCAGTAACATCGTAGACCTTGCAATTGATCACCAGCCACTGGTCAGTCTCCTGACTGTGTCTCTGGATCTCCTGCCAGGTGTACCTGTTGAGGCTTTTTCTGGGCAAGCCGCACTTCTCTTTTGCCTCCTGCCTTGCAGAGAGCCTGGCTTTCCCACTTGCTCCTGGTTTCCCCTTTGCCTGTTACTTCTCACCTTGGTACAGCTGGCTCTCAGGCTTTTCTTCAAATGTTATTGTCTTTGTACTTTTAGAATTTCTGGCTTGACACCTGGAATTTCTAATTCTCACCTGATTGAACTACAGAATGGCCTTTTCCCTCTCCTTTTATTCCATGAAGTAAGAAGCCTACACAGAAAACTTTTTAGCCAACTTGGCTCTTGGCAAACCTGATAGTGAGCTCCTTCTCAGCCTCTCACTTCTCTGTGCTGAGTCTTTTTGTCCTGATGAAGACCGTACTACCTTTCCCCGCACCCCAGAACATTAGTCTACCTTTCTCTCTTCAGTTTTTCTCTCCCTGCTGGCTGATCTTTTAGCAGCATTCTTATTCATCATTAAATGTCCCTTAGTCAAGAGCTGGAGCCAATCACAGCCCAGAGGATGGTGTGGCCTGAGCCCTGGAAGGAGAGGCTGGGCTCCCTCTCTGCTGACTGCCCACACTGGCATCATGCTGGGTCAGGTGCATTAGCTCTCCCCTGTGTCTCTGAAAGGAACAGTTGTATTAATTCAACACATGAGCAGAAGATTTCAAAACCTTTAGGAGGATATGGACGCCTCCTGGAATTGGGAAATATTCTTTCTTTGTTGTTGTTAAGGTTGGAAATTTTCCTTTTATTCTAGTTTTCTCAGATTACTTTTTTTTATTTCTTTTTTTGAACTGAAGGATAACTGTGTACAGAATTTTGTGGCTTTCTGTCATCATCAGCAAGAGCCAGCTGTAGGTCCGACCGTCTCCCACGCGTCCCCCCGTCTCCCTCCCGATGGTTACGGAGCCCGGGGTGAGAGCGCTGAGTCACAGCACAGGGCTCTGCTGACAGCTGCGCTTTCTCCCGAAGGGTTTACATCTCTGAGAAAAGCAGTTTGACTTTAAAATGTTTGTAACGCCCTATTGAGGTTACCTTGGTTTATAACATTATATAAATTTCAGTGTGGAAAATTATATTTCACCTTCTGAAACACTACAGCATGCTCACCACCAAAAGTTTTATTTTCCATCCGTCACCATACACTTGGCCTTCTTTACCCATTTTACCATCCTCCCAACTCTTCCCCTAGAGTGTCCACTGCACTGTTCTATATGTTTGTTTTTAACTTCTTTCATTTCTGTATTCCATAAAGGAGTGAAATCATATGGTAACTGTCTTTCTCTACTTGATTTTTCACTTAGCATAACATTCTCAAGAAAATGAAGTTGCTCAGTTGTGTCCAAGTCTTTGCAACCCCATGGACTGTAGCCTACCAGGGTCCCCTGTTCATGGGATTTTCCAGGCAAGAATACTGCAGTGGGTTGCCATTTCCTCCTCCAGGGGATCTTCCCAGTCCAGGGGTTGAACCTGGGTCTCCCCCACATTGTGGGCAGATGCTTTGCCATCTGAGCCACCAGGGAAGTCCAAATTCTCAAGGGCCATCGCTATTTCCAAAAGTGTTAAGATTTCACCTTTCAATCATTCTAATTATCTTTTAATGATTTCTGATCATTTTTATCTGTTTTGTTTTCTTTGCTTTATTCTTCAGTTGGCACTCTGCTTTGATTTTGTTTTATTTATTTATTTTTAGCTTTTTAAAAGTTGTTTGATTTCCTTTTTGGTTTCTTTAGTTTCTTTAGTTGTTCTCTTGTGTTTTGTTTTGTTTTGTTTTGTTTTTGGTTCTGTTTTCATTTCCTCTGTGTGTGTGTGTTACTTTGTTCTTGTTTCTATTTACAATTTGGAGTTTTGTCTTTCCTTTCTTTTTTCCTTTTCTTTAATCCTCATTGTGGTTTTGATTTGCATTTCCCTGATGACCAGCAATATTGAGCATCTTTTCATATATCTGTTGGCCATCTGCATATCTTCTTTGGAAAAATGTCTATTCATTTCTTCTGCCCATATTTTAACTGGGTTGTTTGTTTTGTGGATGTTGAGTTGTATGAGCCATTTATGTTGAGTTGTTTGGATCCTTTTTGCTCATATCATTTGCAAATATATTCTTCCATTCAGTAAGTTGTCCTTTTTGTTTTGTTGGTGGTTTCCTTCCTTTGCTGTGGAAAGTTTTTAAGTAGGTTCCATGGGTTTATTTTTATTTATTCTATTTTTCACTGTGCTTGGTCTTCATTGCTGAGCACGGACTTTCTCGAGTTGCAGTGAAAAGGGGTGCTCTTTGTTGAAATGGCTTCCTTGCTGTGCAGGGTGGACTCCAGGCTCACATTCTTCAGCAGGTGTCTTGTTGGCCCTAGAGTGTGGGCTCAGTAGTTGTGGTATAGTTGTGGCTTAGTTATCCATGGCACATGGGATCCTCCTGGACAAGGGATTGAATTTGTGTCCCCTGCATCAGCAGGCGAACCCTTAACTGCTAGACCACCAAGGAAGTCTCTTATGTGTTTATTTTTGCTTTTATTTCTTTTATTTTATGCTGTTCAGTCGCTCAGTCATGTCCAACTCTTTGTGACCCTATGGACTGCAACACACCAGGCTTCCCTGCCCTTTAACATCTCCTGGAGCTTGCTCAAACTCACATGCATTGTACATGTGTGTACATGTGTACATGTATGTTCACCCAAGTTCATGCCCAAGTTCAGGAAGAGTGAAAGTGGAGAAGCCAGTTAAGAAGCTCTTGCAGTACTCCAAGGGAGAGGTGATGACGGGTTACACATGAGGAGTGGCAGTAAAAGTGGAGAGATTGTGTAAATGAACTTATTCTTTAAGAATTCTTTTCTGATATATAGCTTTTCTAACAAGGAAAAAAAAGCTGAATTTTTGAAAGCCAGGTTTTTAGTCCATGTAGGTATTTCCCCATGCTCCAATAATACCCAGTGATTAATCCCATCAGAACCCTCATTAGTTGGAATCACATATAATTGCTGCTTTTTAAATGTCAAGCCAAATATAATTAGCGTCTTATGGCTCAGTGTAGGAAACAAAATTCACATGAACATGCTCATGTTGAGAGTCTATTTTGTGCCAGCATTGTGCTGATTCCTACAACCTTGCATGCATTCATTTTAATCATCTGACTTTCAACCAGGGACACTTACTAAGGACCATGACCTTTATATCTGCATTTCTAACCACCTATACAGTGACTGGCAAATTTTAATAGAAAGAGCCCAATTTGTACAGAAGAAGCAAGGTTGGGGGCCTTGGCAAAGCTAGAAATAAAAGAATCAACAAAGATAGTGGTTTGGGAATGGATTTTTCTGGTTCAAAATGATACTGTCCTCATGGTTGGTAATTGACTGAAGAGATAAAGGATTGGCAGGGATAGAAACAATTCTCTAACTCCTACTAAAACCTAAGGGAGCTTTGGTCTTATCCCTTGAGCCAAAGTCCTAAGAATATGCAGGAAATAATTCTGAAGTTGGAATTTAGCTGTCTCTGTGGTGTGGTGTTGTGCTTTTGAGACTGGTTCATGCTTTGGAACATTATTCTGAAAGAATGAAGTTGGGTCCTGCTTTATAGACTCCATGGTGGGGACTGGGCTGAATGACAGGTATAGCCAGTAGAAATCTTTTATGAAACCAAGTAGAATTGGTAATTCATGGTGGGAGTATATGATTATGTAAAAACCGTGTGTGGTTTTTTGAAGAATGGGATTTCCTCTGCTCAGTCTATGGCATCTACCATGACCTTGTCAGTAACCTAATGTTTGTGATCTTTGAACTTACTCCTTTGCACCTGGACCACATCCAAATCACAATATTTGTGGTATGATGATAAACAAAATGGACTCTCCTCTCACAAGTAAGAGAAGAAGAAGAGCACTCTCCTAGGAAGAGCACATTTGTTTGAAATGATGGTGATAATGATTTGACAGTGGTGACAATAATCAAACATTTATTAAGCACCAAAGATGTGCCAGCAGTATTCTAAACCCTTCACATGCATTAGAGAAGTTAATCCTCACAACAGTCCTATGAGACAAGCACTAAAAGCTTTAGTAACTTGCTCGTATGTACACAGCTCACAGTGGCAGGACTAGCAAATCACTTCCACAATGACTAGTCTTCTAGCCATAGTTACACCTCTCGATCGTGAAACTTCCTTCTGCTGCCCAAAAGCTTTGTTTCTATGGTATGCTTTGTTTGGGAACCTTCTCACTTTATCTGGCCAGGAAAATGTCTATATATCCATTAAGACTCATTTAAGGAAACATGAAGATTTCTTTAAGTCTCTTGTGTTTTCTTGGTACTTAGAATATTTCGCTACCAACTAATGTTTATATGGGCCTGTTTGCCTTCAGTGCTAAAACTAACTCTTGCTTCTCTTTACCCTTGGGACCAGGTCAATGCAAAATAAATGCTTTATCAGTGAATAATGAAATAATGACTATAAGAACTTAATTATTTGAGCAGAGCCAAAATTCAGACAGTAAGCAGCCCAAATGAATTGTCCTCAGAGAAGTGATGTTGAAATGTATTTAATTGTCTAATCCATCATCTCTTTCTAATAGAATTGCCCCGGCCTCTGATGATGTAGTTCAACTGGAGCAACTATGTCTCTGTAAAGTGACCCTTCACCTCTAAGCCACAGAGGCTGACTCAGGAGAGCTACTCAGCTCCAGCTGAGCCAGAGAACTTCTTTTGGAATTAGCTATTATCTTGTATGGAGGATATGTAGATTTACTTATTGACAACAGTTGATCTCCACCACTTGGGCCAGGAAGCCCAAAGTCTTGTCTGTAGCAAGTGCAAAAAGTGGTGAAATACCAGTAAAAAAGTCAAGGTTATAAATTCAGGAAAATTTCCTGGATAGGTCTCTCGTAGTATTCCAGTGACTGAAAGCAATAGGCTCCATGAGAAAATAATCGTTTTTATAGTGTC